ATCCTCAGAAAATCCAGAAACTGGAGTGTTGTCCTAAATTCCTTCCTCTCTCTGATCTGTTAAATCCAGTTACAGTAGTTCCCCCTTTATCTGCTGGAGATACATTCCAAGACCCCCAGTGGATGCCTGAAGTCACTAATAGTACGGAACCCCTGTATGATACGATGTTTCTTTCAGCATCACTATTTTTGCACTTTGGAGCTGTTATTAAGTAAAACATGGGTTATTTGACACAAGCACTGCAATACCATGAAGGTTGTTCTATGTGATAACTGAGATGGTTCCTAAGTGACTAACGGGCGGGTAGCATATACAGCATGAATATGCTGGACAAAGGGATGATTCATGTCCCAGACAGGATGGAGTGGGATGTCACAAGTTCTCATCACACTACTCAGAACGGTGTGCAATTTAAAACTTATGAATTGCTTATTTCTGGAATTTTCTATTTAATATTTTCAGACCACAGTTGACTGTGGGTAACTGAAACCCTGAAAAGCGAAACCACAGATAAGGGGGGTGCTGCTGTAGTCACTAATTTCTGTCATATCCACCTCCTTGCTCTTCTGCGTCTACTCTGCTTCATTTGCACTTCTGTTAACCTTCCAGGCCTTCATAATGCTTTTGCTTGAACTCCTCGTCTGCCGGTTTCTGTGCCTCCAGTATTGCCTGTCACCTCCAGGCTATGCTGTGCACTGCCACCAGAGAGGCCTTCCTAAAAGACAAACATCCCCGTGTCATTCCTTTTCTCAAAACCTTTTAAAGATTCCTTATTTCCTGAGCTGCATGTAAGTCAAGATTCCTCACTGTAGCATAAAAAACTTTCCGTAATTCAGCTCTTGATTACATCTCCAACTTAATCTCTCACCAGCTGCTACCTTCCCTCCCATGCACATGATTTCTGCCAAACTGAAGTTCTTAAAATTTCTTGAAAATGCTGTACAGCTTCACACATTCCTACATTTAAACATGATCTGTTCCATCTGCCTGTCTTTCCTCACTTTTTCTTGTTGACTCTTGCTTAACCTTCATTCAACAGACATTTATTGAACACTTACTGTGTGCAGAGTACCTGGGATGAGACCATATCAGAGCTTTTGGATGCGCTTACTGTATCACTTCTTTCTGCATGGTACTGGCTGACTAGCAGTCTCAGAGCTTAGGTGTGGCTCCTGAAGAGAAGTTAGGGTTCAGAGAAGGTCTGGAGAAGCTGCATTGGAGAAGGCAAGCCAGAGCACGAAGTGGTGACTGGAGTTGGCATTAAAAAGGGAAGGATAACAAGAGTAGATAAAGAACAAAGTTGATAGTTATATTAGGGAATAATTTTCAAAATAATTTCAGAGTAAAGCTTTTTTTTTTGATAAGAGATTTTATAGCAGTTGTATTATTTATCATATGTGCTTTGTCATCCCTGTTTGAGAATAAAACATAAAAGATTAAGACCTACATTTTTATGATCATTTAAAAAATCAAGTTAGTATGAACTTCAGATCTTTAATTCCTAAGTTACGGTGAAAGATTAACCTATTTATATCACTGCAGGATTCTTTGAAATGAGTATTTCATACTAATTTAAAACCTATTTTCTAGAATGATGGCTTAAAAAAACAAATCTTATGGAGATTTCAAGTATATACAGAAGGAGAAAGAATACTATAATAACCTCCATGTACTCATCACCAACTTTAACATATGGCCAGTCTTGTTTTATGCTCTTTACCCTCTCCCCCCCCATCCCAAACCAAATTCCAGACATTTTATCCCCTTTAATTAATATATAATTTTATCCATAAATACTTAAATATATAACATTTGTTTTTAATTACACAAAAGTATATCTATTTTTAAGTTGACTGATCCTCTGTGTTTGCTGAGTTTAAATGATTTGAAATTAAAACATTTGAATTTTCTTTTTAACATTAGCATTCTTTTTATTTCTTCAGTATTTATTAAAAATAGGGAAATAGCAGTGCCTGAAAATTTCATATCAAATAGTTCATGTTGCTTTGTCTGATTTTGCAATTCATGCACACAGATATACTCTTCTGTTTTTAGTAGTTTATTATTCAATTTTAAGAAGTTATCATACTTGAAGTAACCTCTCCAATTTTGTTCAACAAACGTGTTGAATGCCTACAGTCTACTTGACACTATGCTATTTGCTGGGAATGCATAGATGAGATATTTCTCAGTTGTCTATAAGTATGTGTGAAAATCAAATACATTCAACACTGAACATTGATGTTTTTACCTTTATAATACAAACATTAGGAGTTTGCACTGCCAGTTAAATTTTTGGGAGAACAATTAATATTTTAAAGTGTTATTGGAGAGATTTAATATGGAAAGAGCATTGAGCTTTAGAGTCTTAAAGATATGAATTTGGATATCAGTGTTATTACTTACTGGCATTTAGGAAATTTACCTAACCTTCAGGCCTCAATTTCTTCATCTGTTAAAACTTACCACATAGGGTTGTTTGTAGGAATAAGCGTAAAGCTCATAGCATGGCGCCACCCAAATGATAGGTGCTCAGTAAAAATAAATATTATTATTACTGTTGGTGGTGTTGTTATTGTTAAATACATAGATTCATCCTTTTCCTCAACTTTGAATTCTTCCTAGTCAAATGACAACTTTCTTCTCGCCACTTATCGGTGCCAGGCAAATACCACAAGGCTGGAACTCAAGGTAAAACTGTTTGAGATTACCTTTACTTGAAAGTGTGAACTTTCTTTTTTCCTTGGTAAATCTTGCAACATATGATATCATTTCTTTGCATTAAATTTCTCCCTGAAATGAGCATTTTGGAATAATGTCTTTTGAATGACCTATTAGGTTTTGATTCAGCCCAAACCACTCTCTTTTCTGTTAGCACTCAACTAGTCACGTTCTCTAAAATTACCAATCCTAAATTTCCTCTAACTGGAAATATTTTTTCTAATTTTCTATTATGGAAAGTTTCAAGCATACATAAAAGTAATGATTCCAGTTTCAGCGATGATCAACTCACGACAATCCTGTTTATGCTGTCACTCTCCATTCCAAATTATTTTGAAGCAAATACAAGATGCTTTATAATTTTATTAGTAAATATTTCAATACATATGTTTAAAAGATAAGAACTCTTTTTTTCTAAGTGATTATGTAAAATTTGTATTTTTTAAAAAATTTTTATTGGGATATAGTTGATTTACAATGTTGTGTTAGTTTCAGGTGTACAGCAAAGTGAATCTGTTATGCATATACATATCTCCATTTAAACAATAAGAACTCTTTTTAAAAACATAACCACAATACTGTTATCACACCTAAGAAAAATAATAATAATTCATTAGTATTATCAAATGTTTAGTGTAGTGTTCTTTTTAGTTTGTTTGATCCAATCATGGTCCAAATAAGGTAATTTGGTTATTGAAGTATCTGAGCATTTGCCCTATATTTTCCTATTATCTGGATTTTTCTGATTGCATTCCAGTGATGTCATTACCAACTATTCCAGGGAAAATCTTTGAAGTTTCCTTTTGCAATTTACTAACATAATCACTTTTATAATTAAATACTGATTGTAGCATACAAGTTTATTTTAGTTATTTAATTTTTAGTGTGAAATTTAAAAAAAATTTTATTTTTGATGTGTTTATGATCCAAAAATTAAGCACTATAACTTTTTCCTGATGTTCTGAAACTCAGAGTATGCTTTTTTCAAGAGAGATGCTATTGCACAATAACTTTTTCATATCTGGTTAAGGAAGTTCCAGTTAAAATGTAATTTTTTTCTAAACAATTTATTTTCATCTGTATAAGTCCCCTTTCATGTATTTTGAAAGAAAAATTGAAAACTGGTATAAGTTCTAAAGGAATATACTTCAGCATATTTATGTAACCTAATTAAACATTTAGATTACATTCACTGAGCTAGATTGTGCCAATAAATTAGGAAGTAGGCCTAAAAATATTAAAAACCTATGTTCTTTTTTAAAAATAACTTTAAAGTTCAGAGGAAAGAGTAAATGCCTGAAAAGAGCCAACAAAACAAAACTATGAAAAAGGAGAAAAGGTGGAACTTATTTTGCCCTATGGTAAAATGTACTATAAAACTACTATAATAAAAATAATGTGGGGGGCTTCCCTGGTGGCGCAGTGGTTGAGGATCTGCCTGCCAATGCAGGGGACACGGGTTCGAGCCCTGGTCTGGGAAGATCCCACATGCCACAGAGCAACTAGCCCCGTGAGCCACAAGTACTGAGCCTGTGTGTCTGGAGCCTGTGCTCCGCAACAAGAGAGGCCGCGATAGTGAGAGGTCGGCGCACCGCGATGAAGAGTGGCCACCACTTGCCACAACTAGAGAAAGCCCTCGCACAGAAATGAAGACCCAACACAGCCATAAATAAATAAATAAATAAAAATTAAAAAAAAAAAATGTTTTCTGCCCCTATTTAAAAATAATAATAATAATAATGTGGGGTATTTACAAGACCTAAATAAATAGGTGACACAACAAAATAAAGTTTAGAAATATAGCCCAGCACATATTTATGGGAATTTAATGCACAGCGTTTTTAGATAGGGAAAATTCTATTAAATTACTATTTTTATTTAAAAATTGCTATTGGTGGGACTTCCCTGGTGGCCCAGTGGTTAGAACCACAGCAACTAAGACCCAATGCAGCCAAAGATAAATTAATTAATTAAAAAAATAAAAATTGCTATTGGTACAACTGGCATCCATCTGGAAGAATATTAAGTGGATTCTTATGCCGTATATTATAAAAGATAAATTCAGATGAATTAAGTACCTAGTTATTTTCAAAAAGAAGCTGTCTTCCAGATAATGGGTAAATATCAGAATATGAAGACTGCCTATAAGTTGTTTAAAAAGACTACCCAGGGTGGTCCAGTAGTTAAGAATCCACCTTCCAGTGCAGGGGAGATGGGTTCAATCCCTGTTTGGGGAACTAAGATCCCACATGCCACGGGGCAACTAGGGTCGTGCACTGCAACTACTGAGCCTGTGTGCCACAGTTAGAGGGCCCGCGTGCCACAACTACTGAGCCCATGCACTCTGGAGCCCACATGCCACAACTAGAGAGCCCACACACCACAACTTCTGAGCCCACACACTGCAATGAAACATCCCGCATGCAACTAAGACCCAACGCAGCCAAAGAAAGAAAGAATCTTGTTCCTTAAAAAAAAAAAGGACTACCCAATTAGGAAAATAGGCCAATGTGGGTAGGCAGTTCACAGAAGAGGGAATCAAAATAGCTAACAAATATTAAAAGAACATATTCTACCTCATTATCAGTTAGGGAAACTCAAAATAACAAAAATCAGTTTCTGCTTGTCTAACAGATTGGCAAAAATTTTGAAAAAGCAGAATTACCAGGTGGCAGGATGAGGAAAAGGACACTCTCAATCATAGCTGAAGGAAATAAAAATTCTTATTGCTACTTTGGTAAAATAGGCTGTAATCCCATTTGTTGGAATCTATTTCATAGCAATAAAATCACAGTATTGTACACACAGATATGTATATAATTAACTGCAGCGTTGTTAATTGTAGAGGCAGAAAAGTTGAACCAAAGTGAACATTCAGTAATTTAATGTTTGAATAAATAGCTGTTTATCCATCTCATAGAATATTGCAGAGCTGCAATAAAGAATGAGTTGGTCAATTCCTGTTAACATGGAGCAAATTCCATGAAAAACACAAAATGCAGATAAAAGTCCTACATATGTATATATATATTATCTATAATATGAAGAAATGTATAAAAAGAAACATATCTCTCTGATATGATAGGTCACACAATAGGGGGAAGGTATGGGTGGGATGGGAGTGGGAAGGAGGTGATGGTATTAGGAGAGACAGAGATAAGGGAAAAATCTGGTTATTAGAAATAAAAACAAAGATGTCTATGATATAAATAGAATTTAGCCATGTGAAGTTATGCATTTATTTTTGTACATCTGCATAGAGAGATGTATGAAAGAAAGGTTGACTATCAAAATAGCAATAATGATCATCGCTGGGTGGTAGGATTTCAGATTACTTATATGTTAATCCTAATTTTTCTTCATTGTGTGGATTTTTAAAAAATGAATATGAAGTATATAATCAGAGAAAGCATTATGACTTTTCTTAATATTATGAACAATTATATTCTTTTTTTAAAGTTGATACTGCATTTACAGTTATTATAAAATATTGGCTATATTCCTCGTGTTGTACTAATTGTGAACTTATTGTGGAAAAATTTATGTGCCAGTGTAAGCTTACCCTTTAAAAAGAAATCCTAAAATATAGTTTTATCAGATCGATTTTTTATTTTCCTTCTGTATTTTTATTCTTTTCCTTATCTTTTCTCTATTCCCATTCAGAACAATATTTTCAGTATAAAATTTGCAAAAAATCTTGCTTTAAACTTTTTTTTATGTTTCCCATTTAGGTAAAACATTGATTTTTTTTCCCCCCTCACATGCCAGGAAAAGTATGAGCTGATGTATCAGTTAGATTAGAGAAGCTGTCTTTGTAATACAAGAGGTACTACAATCCACTTCAAGAATTGGAACAGAGAAGAGCTGAAAGGGACAGGAGGGAGAAACTTGACTGCTTTCTAACTCCTAAAATTAGGTCTTCACAATTTCATGAATTAGGGTTTTCTGTAAGTGTTTTAAATTCTCAGGATATCCAACTAGCCATATTCAAAATAGCTTAAAAAGAATTTCCTAATCCAAATATGTCATAATTAGATTGTGCGTATGCTTCTCTATTTTCATAGAAAGTCAAGAATTAAGTTCTTGGAAACATTTTTTTTTCTGTCAGTAGGTTTTTATAACAATAGCCATATGCTATAATACCCCTATTTCTGAGAACATGAAGTATTAGTTATTGACCCACTTATCCCTTCAACAAAAATGTCTAAATTTTAGCCAGTTTTTACGTGAATCTTATACAATATATTATACACCTACACTTTTAGATGTGATAGGGTGGTGTGTGAGAATATCTGTCTTTTGGAATGACAGACCTAAAAATATGTGGTGGGGATGACTTTCATAGATGGATTAATTTTGCTTTTGATTTCCAAAATCTTTTAAAATTTTCTTTTACTGTAGAGGTAAAAAGTTCTTGTTTAATAGAATGTCCTTATTTCCTTCAGCATATTACAGAAGAGATTAAGGTCTGAGTACCTGCTTGCTTGTGTTGAACATTTTAAAGATAGCCTTTATGTTGCTAGATTATTCTTATTTTCTTTCCTCTTTTGTGTTCAGATTCGCTCAATTGAAGGCCAGTATGGCACACTTCAAGCATATGTGACTCCAAGAATTCAACCCAAAACATGTCAGGTCCGCCAGTACCTTATCAAACCCCTTTCACTCCATCAAAGAACTCACTTTATTGATCATGACAGGTAGGACAAAGGAGGGAGAAGTTTATTTTTAGGATATTACATGATGCAGATAAAGTTGCTTTTTATTTTAGTAGTGTAAATTCTGGTAGCTAGTTGTACTTTTTAAAAATTAAATAAATATTTAAATGCTGTGTACAGGTTTCCCCCGCTATCTGAAAGTAGAGTGTTCCTATGAAACCTTTCATAAACCAAAATAGCATAAAGTGAAGAAGCAGTTATTGTAGGACACATCTTGATAATGGATGCTCAGAATAAATTGGGATAAAGCACAGATGCTCACAGACAGTTCAAAGCTATGTGGCCTGATGAGTGTAGTTCCTGGAGAAGGAACTCGGCGGGGCCGCTCTCAGTGCTGCTGGGGTACTTGCTGCTTCGGTAACAGCTGCTGCAGAACAAACGCTGAGGCTGTTTTTGCTTTTCACCTTTTTTTGGTAAAAGCAAAAATTCTCTTTGGATTTCTCTGGTTACCGAAAATGGGCACTCGTGTAGGCCTTTTGTAAAAACAAAGTGGCACAAAGTGAACTTTCAAAAAGCAGGGGATACCTGTATTAATATTTCTAATAGACGTAAGAATCTTTGTCTTCTTTTAGAGGCTGATTTGAGCTGGACTTTCCTATCTTTCTCGTATATTTACCATTCTGAAATCAGTAGAGTAATAGTTCTCTGTCTCAAACATCTATTGTGAGAAAATACTGTTTAGCATTTGAGTTCTCTGTAAACAGGACCTTATTGTGTTAGCCTCAAACATTATATTTCCTTTCTACTTCACCTCAGGGAATACTGGTAGAGCAATTAGTTGTGATAGTCCCTATTATTTCTAACTTCCATTCCAACTTAATCATCCTCCTGGTTATAGTTTTTCACTTTCTTTTCTGAAAATGAGAGACCATGGCCTTAAATGAAGAAGGGAAAGAAATGAACAATTAGTGAATACTTGCCCTGTGCCATGCATTGTGCTTAGTGCTTAGGTGTTACCATTTAAGTCTTACGGCAAAACAAGTAGTAATGTTTGGAAAAGTAAGTAACTTGTTGATATGAGAAACAGAGTGAAGATTTGAGGCCAAAGCCTATGTTTTTTTCTATTGCAGCTTGTAATTTTAAAGATATGTAATTTAAATGAGATGTAAGGAAAAAAGTTCCGAAGGAAGGTTTTGGGAAAACATTAAAGAGAATGGATTCTCTGAGGGTGTCTTCCTGCTTAAAAGTCAGAGTTGTTAAAGGAGGTATAGCGTGGTGTTCTGGAAAGAACAGCAAACTGGGACTCAGGAGACTCAGATTATAGCCTTATATCTGTTCCTACATGACTTTGGGAAAATAATTTAAGCTCTGGGCTTTAGTTCTCTCATCTGCAAATAGAGTTGCTGTGGCAATCTCAAAAGTCCTTTCTATTCTGTATTCTCTTAAAATTCTTTCTGTACCTTTAATTCCATAAACTTGCATTTTCTTAATTCTTTATCCATTTGATTTATTTTAAATTTATTTGATTTATTTTACAACCTTTTGTGTGTATGTGTAATTTGCAGATAGAAAGTTAATTCTGTATCCCTGCAAAATAGAAGGTATCATTCCCTAACTTTCCAGGTGGCATGCAGCTAGTGTTTCAAACCCATGTGTCCATCTTACTTAAAAGCCCAATTCTTTGCCTTCACATTATGCTGATTTTTTCCTTTAGGAGATTCTTATGTTTTGTAGCTCCTATAATATAAACACTAGATGAACTTTTAAAAAATGGAATTTACCTGAGTAAACTGAATTGTATTTGTGAAGGCATGTTATAATGAAAACAAGCTCTTTATGTCACTTAACTGAATATTAAAAGTACAGGTATAGGTAAGCATTCTTTTTTTTTTTTCTTGAAATCAAAATGTTTATCTGATGGGTAAGATTAATCTGAGAAAAATTAAATGGCTGCTTTTCTATTTGTAACTACTGTTGCAAAATTCTGTTTTTTAACGTCTTGAGTACATATAATACCTCTGTGTATTCCCAGACAAATATGTGTACCTCTGCTATTTAATTGCAGACCCATGAATACACTGACTTTGACAGGCCAGTTCAGTTTTGCTGAACTTCACTCCTGGGTGGTTTTTTGCCTGCCTGAAGTTCCTGAAAAACCTCCAGCAGGAGAATGTGTGACATTTTATTTTCAGAACACCTTCCTGGATACACAACTTGAAAGTACCTACAGGTAAATAAAACTTATTCCTGGTTCACAAGTGTTTTTTACATAAATGGAACTTCTAAATTTTCATAAGTTTTAAGGCAGTAATAATTTGCGAATAATATGATTGAAAAACTATACTGTTTAAGAGAATCTTTGAAAAACAAATGGAATTAATGAGTTTAAAACATGATTGACTAAAGATGAATATGAAAGAGCAATACCTTTCCAATTCTCAGCCATAACCAGTTAGAAAATAAATTGTTTAAAAAGATTCTTTCAGAGCAGCGATAACAATAACAAAATGTTCATATAAAATCTGTAAGAATATTCTTTATTAGAAATACATAGGACTTCATGAAGAAAACTTTAAAATTTTATTGACATTAAAGACTTGATTTAATGGAGTAATATATTCTATAGTTATCAATATGAAGACAATGTAAACATGCAAGTCCTTCCCAAATTGATTTGAACATTTATCCTAATTCCAGTAAGAATTACAAGAAGAATTACCATTGAATTTCTTTATGCAAAAATAGGAAATGGCTCAAGGACTTGAGAGCTTAGAACATTCAGGCTTTTGAAGTGACCACATTGAGGTGAAGGTCATTATTCCTTGACACTCTTCTCAAGCTCCCAGTTGCCCTCCTGCCCCCTTCACTGTCACTCCCTACTCATCTCCCATAGGCTCCCCTAATTTCTGTTTCTGAATATAGTAGAGGCTAAAATTTCCTTCTCCTTTGTTCTTTTTCTGAATGTGTTGGGTAAGGCTGGTTTCTCTACATCTGCTTTGAGCTTGTACCCTCATACTTCTTCAAGGTTTTTGCATTCTCATTCTGTCACATCTGTAGGTTGTTTTTGTTTGTTTGATCTTTTGTTTTTTTATCTTGTTTGTTTGGAGGGGAGGAGGTTTCTTATCTTCTCTCTGTCTCTGTCTCTTAAAGCTTACTGAGCTTTAAGCAGTTTACTGAGGTATTCTACTTTCTGCTTCCTAGCTGAGACTTTACCATGCTAGGTTCTGGAAACAACAGTGAACACATAATTTTACCTCTGAATATAGCCTTTCGGACCAAGAACTCTCCAGAAATCTAATTGGTTTTAGCATCAGTTCTATGGGGGTGTTTCACTGTACCCTCCAGGGGATCTTACCTGTGTAAACCTGGAATCATGACTTCAGTTTTGAAGTACCACAGCAAACCTCACGTTTTAATCATAGCAGACAATTTGACAGGCCCCTGGCATACTGCATATTTTTATAATAGCATACCTTTGCTTTTTACCATTCTGTGTCTAAATATTCTTTCCTTAATAGTCAAAACTCTACTCATTCTTCAAGGCCCAACTCAATAGCTACATTTTTTAAGTCTTCCTTGATTCTATTCTCTGTTCCCATAACATTTTATTCTTACCTGCCTTAGGTTTTTATTGTTATTTTTTTGAAGTATATAATAATTTTTATGTAAGCTTGTCTCTAAATCAGATTGTAAGCTCTGGGCAGAGTTTATTTCTTAATTAACTTTGTATGTATCCTCCAAGTATCAACACATGGCTTTGAACATAGTGGTACTCAATAAATGTTTTTTTGTTCCATAAAATACATATATATGGAAGAAGTATAGAAGCGTGTACTTTGGAGACAGACATACTTAGGTTTGAATCTGGCTCTGTGACTCACCAGCTATTTGCTCTTAGCTAGATTACTTAACTTTCTGGGTTTCAGTTTCTTTTCTGACGAATAGAAATAGTAGCACTTACTTCACTGAATTGTGATACTTAAAGGAAGATGAACCACGTGAGTCGTTCCACAGTGCCAGGTACTGTATAAGTATTTAATGTTAAATATTATTAATTAAAATTGAAGACTAGTGAAAAAAATCTCATGATTTCTAACACATAATTGGGATCAAAATAAGTGTGTATTATTCCTCTTTCTAGAAAAAAAGAATTAGCATTTGCCTATAGCAGTCAATATAAAAGCAAATAAAATGGCAACACTGAATATGTAAAAGATGGTATATATTAATTAGGAAAATTTTGGTCATCATAAAAAGGAACCAAACGTAAGCAGGCTTAACCAAATAAAAGGAATTTATTAGCTCATATAACTTAAAGACTAGCAGTAGTCTGCCTCAAGCATAACTGGATCAATGGCTTAACTGATATTGTCAAGACTTTATCCCTTTCCATTGCTCAGCTCTGTTTTTGTCTTCTCCTGGCTTTCCTATGTAGTGCCATGGTGGCCACCAACAGCTCCATCCAGCTTTATATCTTTTCAGCTACCATAGCCTCTCTTTCCCACTAGTTCCAATAAAAGTCCCAGGATTGAGTATCATTGTTGAGTCGTGAACCACTGTGCTCAGGGGTATGGAATATGCTGCTGAAAACTTCCTCCTGAAGTCCCAGAAATGGGGTTGGGGCCAGTGCCAATGAAACTATATGGATTGAAAGGGTGAGAGAGAAAGAGAGAGAGAGAAGGAGGGGTTCCATAAAGAAAAATAAGGGTCCCGTGAACATAAGAAGTGGCAATGGATGCTGGGCATGGAAGAACAGAAGATGTTACTCTTAGGTTTGATATTAGCTTTCTTTTAAGGATGAAGCATATAGTCATGCTGTAATTTATGTGATTACATAAAAAAAATCTTATGTGAAAGCAAGCAATTCTAAATGCATTTTATATACATAAGGTGTTAGCTATTGGAAATTTTATTAGTGAAAATGAAAAAAAGGTGTTTTAAATGAAGAACTTATATAAATTGTCGTATCTTTTGGAGGCATGTGTCTAACATCTTTTATTCAGTTTTACAAGTATGTTTCGAACTTGAATTGCTACAACAGTAAAAGGTTACATGTTTAAATATGTTTTACATTAATAATGAGATGTGTATATAAAGAAATCTAAAATTAAATTAAGTCTAAACACAAGGTCCTATTCGCAAAATATGTATTTACTGGACATATTTATTGGATGTATTTCCTTCTAAAGCTGTTCTTTTAAAAATATTAATTTTATAGAAAAGGTGAAGGAGTTTTTAAATCTGACAACATTTCTACTATATCCATCCTAAAAGATGTGCTCTCTAAAGAAGCTACAAAAAGGAAAATTAACCTCAACATATTATACGGTAAAAAAAAAAAAAAAAAAAAAAAATCATTTTTTGTGTTTTGGGGGGGGTTGTTATAAGAATGTTCCTGATCGAAGTGACTTATCTAATTGTGCCTGACTCAACTTCTTCTAGAGATAAATGAAGTATCAGTCAAACACACATTAAAGCTAATCCACCCAAAGCTGGAGTACCAGTTGCTTTTGGCTAAGAAAGTGCAATTAATTGATGCTTTAAAAGTAAGTATTTGTGTCATGGGACTCATGATCATTATTTTATTGTGATGGGATTTCTAAAATTGTAAAGACCTTAAAGTTTTCCACTTTAAATCCACGTTACACTGGATTAAATTTTGAACATTAAGTGCTTCTGTTTTTAATTTTAAATAAGGAATTGCAGGTTCATGAGGGAAACACAAACTTTCTGATACCAGAATATCGCTGTATCCTAGAAGAGGCAGATCACCTACAGGAAGAATACAAAAAGCAACCTGCACATCTTGAAAGACTCTATGGTTAGTGAACTATTCTAGAATACCTTGTCATATTTCTTTTCTACTGGCTGTTTGCAAAGGAGCACATGAGAGAAGCTGGGCGGAAGGAGATAGGCAAAGATTACAGCAGTCATGAACCAGTAACAACCCATGTACTGCCCACTATATTTATTTTGTCAAGTTGGTTTTAATGTTTAATATTTTCACTAGATGAAATACAAATAAATATTAAGAAGTGAAATAAGTCTAATGCAATGAATTAATCTATATATATGAAGAAACCCAGCGTGAAATGAATGTAACCTATGAAGCATTACAATTTAGGTTATATTTCACACAAATAATTTTCAGTTTTTATTGCTATTTTGAAATATCAAAATGCAGCATTTAATATATATATATATATATTTTAACATCTTTATTGAGGTATAATTGCTTTACAATGGTGTGTTAGTTTCTGCTTTATAACAGAGTGAATCAGTTATACATATACATATGTTCCCATATCTCTTCCCTCTTTGTCTCCCTCCCTCCCACCCTCCCTATCCAGCTCCGTTTTTCGTTCTCAAGACTGCTTTGGCTATTCGGGGTCTTTTGTGTTTCCATACAAATTGTGAACTTTTTTGTTCTAGTTCTG